TGTGTTATTTGCCAAATGAAAGAGTTCTAATCACGTCAAATATTATAATATTGCTCGGTACTTATCTAATACTCTAAAAGAGAACCAATATCATCAGAAAAAAATTGTGGCAAATTTCCGCTTCCTCACCTCCAGACTCTTTATGATGTCCAGGCCTTTTCCCACTAAGACATGTGGGGTTTTTTTCTTTTTATAAGGGGGTGGGGATGATGGTGTGTATGTATGTGTATGTGTGTGTGTGTTTGTGTGTGTGTGTGTGTGTGTGTGTGTGTGTGTGTGTATGTCTGTGTGTGTGTACATGTATGTATTCATGTATAGACACACATAGAACCTCGGCGGTAACGATCCCTATAAGGCAGAATGCAATTAAGCTGCACACATCCGTTATTTGAAACGCTGCCCTATTAAAAAGCTCTGAAAGAAAGAGACATGACTACTCTTGGAACTCGACATTGAACTTTTCTGATTCCTAGAGGGTGCTCATGGTTCCCTTCTGTGGCGTCGGTGGCCTAGTGGTTAGGCTACCGGACGTGTTATCGTGAGGTTGCAGGTTCGGGGGTTCGAGCCGCGGGCCCGTCGACGTTGTGCCCTTGGGAAAGACACTTTACACGAATTTTCCACATTTCACCCAGGTCGGAATGGGTACCCAGCTATAGACAGTGAAAGATCTTGTCAGTTTGTTAGTGTTTGAGCGCTTAATTAACCAGCTGCTTGCACAGCATGCTTCCAGGGAAGCTGAGAATGTTTCTGAGTGTTATATGGTCTGCTGGGGTAATAATAATATAGTAAATAGCGCATAGAGCTTGCTTTCGAGTGGGGACATGCGCCATGCAAATGCTATTTATTATTATTATTAGATCTATTATTATACGAATTATCAATTTTTAATTATTACAGTATATCAACTAATGGAACACATTACGTGATACAAATTAGCTAGTTGAGGTCAAACTGATTCAAAATGAAAAATCAGTTAATGAAAAACACTGTCTTCATCTACATAGTCCAGCAAAACTGTGATATAACCAGTGGTCGTGTATTATATTATTATAGGGATTGCTGGTATCAGCAGCTCTTGCCTCCAGCTCTTATTTACAGAACGGGCCTGTAATTAAATGATATCGTACAGACGGGCATGATTTAATGCCCCCCTGGCCAAGACAATCACACATACAAAAGACCACATCCTACTTCCGCCTTTGCGTTTGTTGTTTGTTTGTTTGTTTGTTTTTCTATATTATAACGACTGTCAAAAACGTCCACCTTTCTAAGACAACCATTTTTCTCATCGACAATGAAAGGCCATCTTTGACAATTTCGACTCATTTTTAAAACAACATCACCACCACCACCACCAACAACAACAACAGCAACAATAACAACACCAATGATAACAAGTAAAAAGATGAGTACCCCCTCCACCTTCCTCCCCCTCCCAAACCCGCCAACAGAAAGCACCAATCACGATTCGCCGTATTCTCCTCCCTCAACAGCGAGATGGGTGACCATGACATCATGACCATCCCAGCCCGACCACGCCCCCCTCGTGACCCACAGAACATCCTGTTCTTGGCCCCGCCCTACCCGGGCTTCTGCTACCCGACCTACCCACCTCCTGTGGCGCCTCTAGCCCCGCAGGCTCTGACCTTTGACCCTGTGTGGAGGAATCCATCAGATGATACTCTTCCTGTGAGAAGACTACTTACTACACCATATTTTGTCATTTTTGTAACATTCCTTTAGGATTATGTTAATTGTTCTGTTATCTGTTTTGTCTTCCCTTATTATTATGTGTATGTTTGATGGCATCTCGGCTTGCTTTTCTTATTGCCCTTTACCCCCCC